GTGAGTCTGGATAAATTCACATATAATGAGAAGACTACAGAGTGAAGAATGGAATCCAAGGACTGTCAGTGTATATAGGAATAGAAGAAGATCTTATCACGTAGCTAGTCTGTAACATTAGATAAGGAAGGAATATGAATTTTAACATTACAAAGAATGTGAATTTAGGGTATGCTAAAGCCCTGAAAGATAAAATTTTATTTTATCTTTCCTTTATCTTATTTCTCGCAGCTACCCTGCTCTTTATTTATGTCTGATGCTTTAAGCATCAGGCAACTGAGGCACAAAAAGGTATAGTTTTACAGTTTTACAGCTATAGGTGGTAGAGCCAGGATTTGAACTCATGTGGTCTAGCTGTTAAGAGTTTACACTTAGGGGCCAGACACCGTGGCTCATGCCTGTGGTCCCAGCACTTTGGGAAGCCAAGGCGGGTGGATCACTTGAGGTCAGTAGTTCGAGACCAGCCTAGGCAACATGGTGAAACCCTGTCTCTACTAAAAATACAAAAAATTAGCCAGATGTGGTGGTACACACCTGTAGTCTGAGCTACTCAGGAGGCTGAGGCAGGAGAATCGCTTCAATCTGGGAGGCAGAGGTCACAGTGAGCTGAGATTGTGCCACTGTACTCCAGCCTGGGGGGACAGTGTGAGACTCAAAAAAAGAGGCTGCACTTAGGCTGAGCATGGTGGTTCATGTCTAATTCCAACACTTTGGGAGGGTGAGGCGGGCAGATTGCTTGAGTCCAGGAGTTTGAGAGCAGTCTGGGCAGCATGGTGAAAATCCTGTCTCTACCAAAAAATACAGAAATTCACCAGGCGTGGTGGTGTAAATCTGTAGTTCCAGCTACTGAGGAGTCTGAGGTGGGAGGATGCTTTTAGCCTGGGAGGCGGAGATTGCAGTGAGCTGTGATCATGCCACCATATTCCAGCCTGGGTGACAAAGTAAGATCCTGTCTTTTTTTTTTTTTTTTTCTCCCGAGATGGAGTCTTGCTGTCGCCAGGCCGAGTGCAGTGGCACAATCTCGGCTCACTACAACGTACGCCTCCTGGGTTCAAGTGATTCTTCCGCCTCAGCCTCCCGAGTAGCTGGGACCACAGGCACGTGCCACCATGCCCAGCTATTTTTTCTATGTTTAGTAGAGACGGAGTTTCACCATGTTGGCCAGGATGGTCTCGATGTCTTGACCTCGTGATCCGCCCGCCTCGGCCTCCCAAAGTGCTGGGATTACAGGCGTGAGACACCGCGCCCGGCCGATCCTGTCTATTAAAAAAAAAAAAAAAAAAAAAAAAAAAAAAAAGAGTCTGCAGTTACCCACTGTGCTTAATGCCTTCAAAGGAAATTGAGAGAGATTCTGACTTAGCTAGTTAGTGTAGAATTTGTTACTAAAACGATTATGGTAATGGACAGCAAACTTTTTAGAATTTTATTTTTAATTGTGGCAAAATACACGTAAAACATAAAATTCACTGTCTTAATCATTTTTAAGTGTATAATTCAGTACTGTTCAGTATACTTGTATTGTTGTGCAGCCAGTCTCCATAACTTTTTTATCTCAGACAACTGAAACTATACCCATTAAGTAGCTACTTCCCATTTTCTCTTCCCTCAGCTTCTTGCAACCACCATTCTCCTTTGTATCTCTATGAATTTGGCTGCTCTAGGAACCTCATATAAGTGGAATCATACAGTTATTGTCTTTGTGACTGGCTTATTTTACTTAGCATAATGTCCCCAAGGTTTATTCACGCTAGAGAACATTGTTAGAATTTCCTTTCTTTTTATAGAGGGCAAAATTTTATTTATTAGAACAAATTTTTATAGCCTTTACATAATGAGGAAGATGTTATTATCTTACTGGTTTTGAAAAAAATAATTATTTAGGGGATCGTGACATATTTAGATTCCTTATAACTTCTATAATGATACCACATTAGCATAGTGATCTGAATGTCCTGGATAAAAATTTTAGCAAGAGAATATTTACTAAGAACTTATAAAAGCATTAAAAACGAACGATCCCTTTTTAGTTTTTTTAAGAAGGACAGCTATGGTATATTTTTGTCCTGAAGAACAAAAATTTTGTGATTCATGGGATTCACAGATTTAAAATACAGTTTTTGTAATGTTTACAGGAATGCCTAAGGTCATTGACATACTTTTTACGAAGTTTTTTTTACAGAGGCTGGTGTGTTTGGTACTGATTGGAAGCATCTTATCCAGCTGGTGAAGGAATCTAACAATGCCCTGTATTTATAACTCTGTTTAGGGATGTGGTCAGAGTCTTCTTACAGATTTGAATATGACAGTGGAATCCAGATTAGCTCCTCAGTTCTTTTGCTGCTTGTAGAATGAGAATATTAATAGTTCCTATCCCATAGCGTTTTTCTGAGGATTAAATGTGGTAATGTGAATAAAGTGCTTAGCATGGTGACTGGCACATAGTAAGTGCTCAATGAATGTTACATGTGACTATTAGTACTGTCGTGATCTTTTGTACATATGCATTTGAAGAGTCCGAAATGACTTACTGTAGAGGAAAGTCCATTCCATCCCTTGTTTTTGTAATGATTATTTGCTTTAGCTGAGTTGAATTTAGGAAATATTAATCTGTTTTTTTTTTTTATTTTTTTTTATTTTTTTTTATTTTTTTGAAAGGAAGAAAAAGAATTAAAAAAAAAAAAAGAAAAAGAATACAGGAAAGGAAGAAAGAGGAAGAGGAAGAGGGAGAGAGAACAGGGGTGTTGCTTTATTGCCCGGGCTAGAATGCAGTCTAAAACTGGGTATGCCTGTAATTGTGTTTAATAATAGAGACATAAAAAAAAATGAGGGAATAAAATAATTAACAAGCAGCCAACCAATATTTCATTTAAACCTGTAAATACGTGTGATGTAGTACTGATAAGAGTGTATATTTTGTGTATTTAAAGTGGAGAGTTCTATGAATGTTAATTAAGTCTACTTGTTCCAGATCTGAGTTCAAGTCCTGGATATCGATGTTAACATTCTGTCTCATTGATCTATCTAATATTGATGTTGAAGTCTCCCGCTATTATTGTGTGGGGGTCCAAGTCTCTTTGTAAGTCTTATATATCTGGGTATTTCTGTATTGGGTGCATATAGGTTTAGGATCTTTAGCTCTTCTTGTTACATTGATCCTTTTATCTTTATGTAATATCCTTCTTTGCTTCTTTTGATCTTTATTGGTTTGAAATCTATTTTATCAGCAAAAATTGCAATTCCTGCTTTCTATTTATTTATTTTAGCTCTCCATTTGGTTGGTAAATTTTTCACCATCCCTTTGTTTTGAGTCTTTATGTATCCTTGCATGTGAGATGGATCTGGATGTAGCATACCAATGGGTCTTGGCTTTTTTTGCCTGTCTGTGTCTTTGGATTGGGGGATTTAGTCGATTTAAATTTAAAATTAATAACAATATATGTGTGTTTGATACTGTCATTTAATGTTAGCTGGCTGTTTTGCCCGTTAGTTGATGCAATTTCTTAAATATGTTGATGTTCTTTATTTTTTGGTATTTTTTAGAAAGGCTGATACTAGTTGTTCCTTTCTATTTGTAGTGGTTCTTTCAAAAGCTCTTGTAAAGCAGGCCTGGTGGTGATGAAATCTCTGAGTGCTTGCTTGTTCACAAAAGATTTTATTTTTCCTTCGCTTATGAAGCTTAGTTTGGCTGGATGTAAAATTCTGGGTTGAAAGTTTTTTTCTTTGAGGATGTTGAATATTGGCCCCCACTCTCTTCTGGCTTGTAGGGTTTCTACTGAGAGATCTGCTGTGAGTCTGATGGGCTTCCCTTTATGGGTAACCTGACCTTTCTCTCTGGCTGCCCTCAGTATTTTCTCTTTCATTTCAACCCTGGTGAATCTGGCAATTATGTGCCTTGAGGTTGGCCTTCTTGAGGAATATTTTTGTGGTGTTCTCTGTATTTCCTGGAGTTGAATATTGTCCTGCCTTGCTAGGTTGGGAAAGTTTTCCTGAATAATATCCTGAAGCGTATTTTCCAGCTTGGATTGATTCTCTTCGTCACATTCAGGTACACCTATCAAACGTAGATTAGGTCTTTTCACATAGTCCCATATTTCTTGGAGACTTTGCTCGTTCTTTTTTATCCTTTTTTCTCTAATCTTGTCTTTTTGTTTTATTTCATGAAGTTGGTCTTCGACCTCTGATATCTTTTCTTCTACTTGATCAATTCAGCTGTTAAAACTTGTGCATAGTTCGCAAAATTCTCGTGTTGTATTTTTCAGCTCCATTAATTCACTTATATTCCTCTCTAAATTGTGTATTCTTGTTAACATTTCGTCAAACCTTTTTTCAAAGTTCTTAGTTTCTTTGCATTGGGTTAGAACAAGTTCTTTTAATTCCCAGAAGTTTCTTATCATCCACTTTTTAAAGCCAGCTTCTGCTAATGGAACACAGTCTTTCTCCATCAGGCCTTGTTCTGTTTCTGATGAGGAACTGTGATCCCCTGTAGAGGGAGAGGCGTTCTGAGCTTGGGTATTCTCAGCCTTTTTAGGCTGTTTTCTTCCCTTCGTTATAAATTTATCCATCTGTGGTCTTTATAATTACCGTCTTTATAGTTGGGTTTCTGAATGGACGTCCAACTTGTTGATTCCCGGCGCTAGAATCTGAGCAACCCACTGCTCCGGCCAAAACAGCGGCTTTAAGGTTGATGGTGCTTTTCTGACTCTGCACCAAGAACCGCCACACCAAGGCAGCGGCAAAACCGCCTCACCGGCCTCAAGAGTCACGCTGGCGACAGGTGGGGCTCCTCCGCTGGGAATCTCCTGGTGTGTGAGCAACAAAAATTGATCTGAAAGTGTGGCGTCCTCTCGTTCTCTGCTCTTTCAGTGGGAGCTGCAATCCCGATCTCTCTCCTCAAAAATAACTAAGCTGGATGCTTCAGAGGATTCAAAGTTGAGTGCAATACAGTTTCTGCCTTCAAAAAGCTTAAGTGTTTAAAATGGAATAATTTTATCTATAGTGATATTAGAATCTGCATCTTCTAAAATGTTAAGTTTTGAACTAAAAGTGTAGGAATAAATCCAGGTGAGAGTATGGCCTAAACATTTTACAATTATTAAACACAATTACTGGCATACCCATTTATAGACTGCATTCTAGCCTGGGCAGTAAAGTAGCACCCCTGTTCTCTCTCCCTCTTCCTCTTCCTCTTCCTCTTTCTTCCTTTCCTTCATTCTTTTTTTTTTCCTTTTTTTTTTTTTAAAAAGAGAAACCTTAATTATGATATACTGTGAAATTAGTTTATTTTCCTTAACTATCTGAAACATAGAGTAATAACTAAAAAAACAGTAATCAGCAATAGAATTAGTAGCCCTATCTTCTGATATCAATCTTCAACTGAAACTAAACAAAATCTACCACACATTTGCTTTAAATGCCTATGTTACTGGTACATATAGACAAAAACAACAACAACAACAACAACAACAACAACTAGCCAGGTATGGTGGTCTGTGCCTGTAGTCCTGGCTACTCAGGAGGCTGATGTTGGAGGATCACTAGCGCCCAGGAGGTCAAGGCTACAATGAGCCAAGATTGTCCCACTGTACTCCAGCCTGGGTGACAGAGTGAGACCCCATATCAAAAAGAAATAAAAAGGTAAAGATAGGTAAACTTGAAAGTATAGCAGTGTAAATTACTCGAGCTAAAGCACAGGGGAAGAAAAGATTATAATGAATCCATCAATAACAGAGCCTTGGACAATGAGTACAACAGCTAGTGGATTAAAGATCTAAAACTAGAGTACTCGAAAAGAGACAGCTTCAAATAATGGCTTAAAATGTTTAAATTTGGTGAAAATCATAAACCCAGTATTTCAAGAAACTTAACAACCTGATGGTGAGTTTTATTTTGCTTTAACAAAATAAAAACCACAGCAAGCCATATCATAATGTAAATCATTGGTAAAAATTTGTATTCTCTGGATCTTTATAAACATTCAGAGAATAATAGGTACATATGTATTTCAGGGAACAACAATAGCAATTGTCTCTGACTTGTGGTCAAAAACAATGTGAGAAAAAAGGCAGTGGAAAGATATCTATCTTAAAGGCTTGATAGAAAGAAAGAAACATTATAAAGCTAGAATTATAAAACTAGAAATTATTTAAGAAATGAATTCAAATAATATATTTTCCAGACAAACAAAAGCAGAGAGAATTTATTGTCAGCAAATATGCACTATGAGAAATGCTAAAGAAAATTCTTCAGAGGGAAGGGAAATAATATCAGATGAAACATGTATCTCTAAAATGAAGGATTTCAGAAATAGAGAATATGTAGGTAAATACAAAGTGTATGTTTCTATTAATTTTGTTACAAGATAAATGGTTGTTTGAAGCAAAAATACTAATTAACTGGTTGCATTAGCATTCTCCAGAGAAACAGAACCCACAGAGAAAGAAAAATAAAAAGAGATTAAGAGAAAGATTGTAAGAAAGTGGCTTATGCAATTGCTAGCAGTCTTCATAACCAGGAAGAGCAGGTGTTCCTGTGCAAAGGCAGTCAGGCAGAATAATTTTTTCTCTCATCTGGGGGAGGGTCAGCCTTTAGTTCTAGTCACACCTTCAACTGACTGGATGAGGCTCACCCAATATTGGGAAGAGCAGTGTGCTTTACCTAGTCTACCAACGTAAATGTTAATCTCATCCAGAAACACCCTTGCAGATACACTCAAAAGAACATTTATCAAAATATCTGGGCACCACCTGCCGTAGTCAAGTCAATACATAAAACTAGATATCACAAGTCTACCCCTTGTCAACCTGGCAACTATAACATCTCCTTAAATCATACTTAAACTCCAAGTAAAGACAGTAACAAGGCCATGATTTCACCTAGTCTGATGTAACAACAACAACAAAAAAAACCATTTTACAACCATCTTAAAATTTCTCTAAAATAGTCTTTGACTTGTGGATTTTGTTTGTTTATTCCAGCCAGCACCTAACCAAGTCACTTTTCATCTGCCACTACATCGTTACTATGCTATGTTTTTGAGTAAGGTAAGACTGTCATTAAACAATTCTCTTCTTTTTTTTTTTAATTTTCAAAAATAAGAATTGACTTAGTAACTTTCTTATTGTAATTTTTAGGCTGTGAAATGTCAAGAACTAGATTTGGATTCTGTTTTACCAGATCAGGAAATGTTAATGAAACTAATGATTCACCCACTCCAAATTCAAGTATGTATTCAGGCATTTAAAAAGTTTTGAAGTTGAAATGGATTCTCTAAGTGATTCTTCCTTTATTTATGTCTTTCATTGTTATTATAGCTGAGATGTTTGAAAACTCTTTTAAAAAGAAGTTGTTACTGTATTTTTGCCCGATTATGTTTAGGTATTTTTCATTCTTTGAGATTTACTTTTACTTTTTCCAGAAATTCTTTTCATGATATTTACTTATGGGGTGGCATTTAACACACTATAACACTGTTTTGGGAGTCAGGAGATCAGAAATGTTCTAGCCTTGGTGTTACCACTGTTTTATTTTCCACGAGGTTTAGGGTAATTGACCTCCTTGATTCTCAGTTTCTCTATTTGTACAGTGAGAGGAGAAAGAAGAGAGAAGAATTAGCTTATATAAGCACGATGATTTTGTTTAGTACCAACACTGTAATTTTGCAGGCCAGCCTTTTATATACATTAGAGGGACTTGCACTTCAGTATGTTTTTCCTGGCAATTTTAGATTTGTTACTTATAATATTATTGAATTTGAACTCTGGGTGTTAGGAAACAAGAGATAAAATTATGACTCTCAGTTTTAGTTGCCACTGGACATAAATACATGAAGAATTAAATACTGATATAGTGAGAACATTTATTCTGTCCTCCAATATCTGGAAAATTAGTAGTATAGATTTAAGATTGAGTTAGAGTGAATTAAAGATGTAGAATGTCTTCTTTGACTTTGAACAATTGGTTTTATTTTATGCTTATTCCAGTGTGTGTTTTTTTAAACATTGCATATATTAGGATCGTTGTTGTTGTTGTTGTGGTGTTACTTAGGGTTTTCTTGAGGGAGAAATACAGTGAAATGTAAGCGTTGATTTCTTATGAAAGATGCCAGTGAAAGTCATGATAAATGTATCCAGAGGCCAACATGGAAAACCAACTCATGTTTAAACTCTTAAAAAATGGCTATGTGAGGCCGGGCGCGGTGGCTCAAGCCTGTAATCCCAGCACTTAGGGAGGCTGAGGCAGGTGGATCACGAGGTCAAGAGATCGAGACCATCCTGGTCAACATGGTGAAACCCCGTCTCTACTAAAAATACAAAAAATTAGCTGGGCATGGTGGTGTGTGCCTGTAATCCCAGCTACTGAGGAGGCTGAGGCAGGAGAATTGCCTGAACCCAGGAGGTGGAGGTTGCGGTGAGCCGAGATCGCGCCATTGCACTCCAGCCTGGGTAACAAGAGCGAGACTCCGTCTCAAAAAAAAAAAAAAAAAAAATGGCTATGTGAAAACATAATTATTGTTTAAAAAAAAATCTAAAACTGTATATTTCAACTGATTATCTTTAACATTGGACAAACTATCAGGCTCATATTATGATTACATCATTAAATATTTTGAGATGGTTATTTATAATATTTTATAAAGATTGAGCTTAGATGATTTATTCTTTGTCCAATTTACTTTTATTTTATTAGGCAAGTCTTGCGGAAATCCACAGCAATATGTGGGTAAGAAATGGCCTGCAAATCAAAGGACAAGCTATGACCTATGTCCAGTCTCATTTCTGTAATTCCATGATTGATCCTGACATTTACCTGTTACAGGTAAGCCAACAGATAATGCCGATATACTTTATACTTACAGATAATACAGATATACTTTAGAAGTGTCTCATTTGTACCCAGATGAGTACGTTTGTACCCAGATGAGACACTTCTAAAGTTTATCTGTATTATCTGTAAGTATACTTTTAATTTATAGAGGTGACTGAGTGATGACATGGCGAGGTCAGTGCCATTGAAATAATAATTTATTACTTAACGTTTCTCGAGAGAAAAGGCATACCACCCAGCACAGCGCCACAAGGAAAGCACCAGGTTTTTGTCAAGAGTCAGAAAGGATTGAGCGGGAAGGGCCTAGGCCAAAGCCTTTATTGGGGTTTCTGCCGGAAAGGCAAGTCAGGATGGGCTAGTGTGAATAATTCCAGCAGGCATTGAGGCCTAGAGGCTGTACCTGGCTCTGTGGTACTAGGCCCTGGGTTGGTTTAGGGCAGGGTAAATACTGGGTTGATGTGTGACAGTTAGATAAAGACGATGGTTGGCTTGCATGATGGGCATGTTCCCAAGTAAGTTGTTTATTATGTTTAGGAATTAGCTGGCTCTGGGAGGGACTATCTGTCTTCAGTCCTGTAAGGCCCCTCAAGATGTCAAATCATAACATACAGAAAATAAAAATTATAGCCAGGCATAGTGGCTCACAGCTGTAATCCTGGCACTTTGGGAGGCTGAGGTGGGTGGATTACTTGAGGCCAGGAGTTTGAAACCAGCCTGGCCAACATATTGAAACCCTGTCTCTGCTAAAAATACAAAAATTAGCCAGGTGTGGTGGCGCGTGCCTGTAATCCCAGCTACTCTGGAGGCTGAGGCAGAAGTGCTTGAGCCTGGGAGGCGGAGGCAGAGGCGGAGGCTGCAGTGAGCTCAGATTGCACCAGCTTGGGCAACTGAGTGAGACTCTGTCTCAAAAAAAAAAAAAAAAGAAAAAAAGAAAAAATAAGAAAAGAAAGATGATTAATAGAAGAAGGAAAACCGAATATTGAGAAATAAAGCATTTTGTTTTCTTTTAAAGGTTTGTGCATCTAGACTTGACCCAGATTATTTTATTTCATCCGTCTTTGAAAGGTAGGCAAAATTTTATTCAGACACGTATTAGGAAGTGTCCAGTTCATTTTGTTTTAATTTATAAAAATATGTTTCAAATATTTCTTCTTGTAGATTTAAGGTAGTGGATTTGTTGACAATGGCATCACAACATCAAAATACAGTACTTGATGCAGAGCATGAGAGGTCGATGTTAGAAGGCGCTCTTACATTTCTTGTGATTCTTTTGAGTCTTCGTTTACATTTAGGTAAAACTCACTGATACTAATACTTAGGTATTAACTGTTTTCCTCCCTTCCTCCCCCTCTCTGTGATAGTAACTGGCTTAGGGAAAAACGGAAAGGATGTTGATAAATTTAAACAATGTTTCAAGCTCTTGGTATGTTGTACTATATATCTTTTAGAATATCTTTAAAATATCCTTTGCTTAAGGGAACTGCAAAGAGCAGTTAAACTGCAGTTATATTTGGGGCATTCCTTCTTTACTCTTTAACTTGAAGCATCCTATGTTTGGTAAAAGAGCTTAATAAAATGTGTGGTAAGTTATTTTCTTTATAATTTATGTATACTCAGATTTGTTAATTCTGTTTTTAATAATTTTAGGAATGTCTGATGATGAGATTCTCAGGGCAGAGATGGTAGCCCAGCTGTGTATGAATGACAGGACACACAGTTCATTGCTGGACCTCATATCCTTCAAGTTTCTGTTAGTTGCAGGATCTAAAATAAGTAATTGTTATGATTAAAGGTTTATCAAATTTTTCATTTTTTTTTTCAAAGTTGAAAAATAATATAGGAAAAGAAGAACACAAGCTGTTTGCTCAAGTAAAGTATGTATTCAGGGCAGGTGACTTTTTTTTTTCTTTTTTTTGTTGTTGTGTACTTATATGCATTTATTTTTTTTAATTTTAATTTTAATTTTTTTTTATCCCATTTATTTTATTGCATTTTAGGTTTTGGGGTACATGTGAAGAACATGCAAAATTGTTGCATAGGTACACACGTGGCAGTGTGATTTGCTGCCTTCCTCCCCATCACCTACATCTGGCATTTCTCCCCTTCCTCTCTCTCCCCAGCTCCCCACCCCCCACCGTCCCTCCCCTGTTTCCCCCCAACTGACCCCAGTGTGTAGTGCTCCCCTCCCTGTGTCCATGTGTTCTCATTGTTCAACACCCGCCTATGAGTGAGAACATGCAGTGTTTGATCTTCTGCTCTTCTGTCAGTTTGCTGAGAATGATGGTTTCCAGGTTCATCCATGTCCCTACAAAGGACCCAAACTCATCGTTTTTGATGGCTGCATAATATTCCATGGTGTATATGTGCCACATTTTCCCTATCCACTCTTGTCGATGGGCATTTGGGTTGGTTCCAGGTCTTTGCTATTGTAAACAGTGCTGCAATGAATATTCGTGTGCACGTGTCCTTATAGTAGAACGATTTGTAATCCTTTGGATAGATACCCAGTAATGCGATTGCTGGGTCAAATGGAATTTCTATTTCTAGGTCCTTGAGGAATGGCCACACTGTCTTCCACAATGGTTGAACTAATTTACACTCCCACCAACAGTGTAAAAGTGTTCCTATTTCTCCACATCCTCTCCAGCTTCTGTTGTCTCCAGATTTTGTAATGATCGCCATTCTAACTGGCGTGAGATGGTATCTCAATGTAGTTTTGATTTGCATTTCTCTGATGACCAGTGATGATGAGCATTTTTTTATATGTTTGTTGGCCTCATGTATATCTTCTTTTGTAAATTGTCTGTTCATATCCTTTGCTCACTTTTGAATGGGCTTGTTAGTTTTTTTCTTGTATATCTGTTTTAGTTCTTTGTAAATTCTGGATATCAGCCCTTTGTCAGATGGGTAAACTGCAAAAATTTTTCCCATTCTGTTGGTTGCCGATTCACTCTAATGATTGTTTCTTTTGCTGTGCAGAAGCTGTGGAGTTTTATTAGGTCCCATTTGTCTATTTTGGCTTTTGTTGTCAATGCTTTTGGTGTTTTGGTCATGAAGTCCTTGCCTACACCTATGTCCTGAATGGTTTTGCCTAGATTTTCTTCTAGGGTTTTTATGGTGTTAGGTCTTATGTTTAAGTCTTTAATCCATCTGGAGTTAATTTTAGT